TATACAAAAATTCATGGAGGGACTCATTAATTAATTGCATGAACATGGCAGGGGCTCCTTGTAATCCAAAAGGGAGCACTTTAAATTGGTAGCATCCCAATGGGGTGTTAAAAGCTGTCCTCCACTCATCCCCTCCCCTTATTCTAATGTGGTAGTTTGCCTCTCGTAGGTCTAACTTTGAAAAAAAAATTCCTTTAGAGAGGTGGACTAACGTGTCCTTCATGAGGGGGAGTGGGTACATTTTTTCCACACAGATGGCATTTAGGTTTTGATAATTCACACATAGACACAAAGAGCCATCTTTTTGCATAATAATACTGGGTCTGATATTTTTGGTTGGGTAGCTAGAGGAAATCCCTTTTTAGATTTTTTTTTGATAAATGCTCTTTCTTTTAGTTCTCTGGGGGACATGCAGTACATTTTTGGTTTTGGAAGTTTAGCCCCTGGTAGGATTTCAATGGGTCAGTCTGTGTCGCGATGGGGTGGGAGTTCATCAGAAGCCTCCTTGCTAAATGCTTGGACTAAATCCTGGTATTCATTGGGGGTGTTAATGGGTTCAGCTGGCTGACCGGCCATGGCTGGTTCTCTGTTCTCTATTACTTTACTTTTCCTTTCCTCTGGGCAGTTTGCAAATGCTACATGTTTCTGGAAATGTATGATTCCTCTCTTCCAGTTTATTTTTGAATTCCATTTCTGTAGCCATGTGAGTCCTAGTACTAGTGGCCCTTCTATTCCTGTTGCTACAATGAATGTGAGCATCTTACTATGGTTCCCTAGTCTTATTTTCAATGGTTCTGTGACAAACCTGGCTGGCTCCCCCCCCCGACCACTATAGTTCCATCTAATTGGCAAAAAGCGATGGGAGTTTCCATTTTCTTTAGTTGGGTTCCCAATTTCTCTGCTAGGGTGGGGTTGATTAGGCACTGGATGCATCCAGAATCCAGTAACACTGTCACTTCCTCCCCCTTCCCTCGGCTGGGGATAAACAGCCTTAGGGGTAGAGTGATTGGTTCAATTGGGTCACTTACCAGTGGGTTGTCTTCCAGATTGCTTTCAGACTGGCTCAGGTCTCCTCAGGGCATTGGGGATACTTCCTCTGGGTCAGGGGGGACCGGAACCTCACAGCTTCTCGGCTTCTCAGACCAGTTTCTTTTTCTTGAGGGTTGGGTTTTCCAGGATTCCCCCCTGATAGGTGGTCTGGCTTTCTAGCAGAGGTTTTCGAATGGCATTCTGCTGCGTGGTGCCCCTCTCTTCCACACTTAAAGCAGTCAGCTGGTATTGGAGTCATAGTGGTTTGGGGTTTAAAAAATTCCCACTTCCCTGGGGTGGAGATCTTCTCCAGACTTTGCCACTGCGGTACTGGTTTCGGGTCATGTTTATCTCTACCTCCTCTGCCATCAGAGGATGGTAGGATTTAATATATTCAGGTTACATCAAAAAGGATTACTTGTCCCAACTCCCCACCCTCTTTCTTCTTCCTTTGAAGAATGGCAGATACACGGATCTGGCACCCAAAGCTACAGCTATTAAGCCTATTGCTTAATAGCTGAATAGCCCAATTGTTAGAGCTATTATGCTAATAAAGTCAGAGTAATTAGATTTCATTTGATTTAGAACATCTTCATCCATTATAGAACAGCCAATAAACTAGAAATTCAAGTGGGTTTTATGTCTGGTATTGTCGATTCCTTTTAAGAGCAAACTCAGCTAGAGAATATTGACAGGACTGTAACTAATATGGTTATTGAGAACAAGGCAAAAGCATGTTCAAGGGAACCCTAAAGTTTTCAGAAGTACAACAAATATTTTGCAAAATTAAAACAAAGAAGAACAGAAGAAAAGGAAATATAAGATTATAAGATGAGAATGATGAGCTAAAAAACTAGGAACATTTCATACAAGACTTTGAATAAATATTCCATTTTGCATTTTCTGCTGTAATTTGGCATCTTAGGAAATTGAGAAAATATTTAATAACTAAATAAAATCAGATTTTATGACAGTCATAAGCCATCCTATTACTCACCAAATACTAATACTTTTAATATAGCTGGATAAATGTAACTAATAGGTCACCTGATCCCCTCCTTAAAGATACATACTGGGGCACTTTGAAAATTAAAAGGAATATCATCAGATTGCTTACACAGAGCAACTCCCTTCAGATGGCATCAGAATCTTTATGTTTAAAGGGTGCTTACTCCATCAACTCTCACCACATAGATAAAAGCAGTGAAAAAGGTAAAAGAGAATAACTGATAATTATGCAATTTTCAGGATATTGTTAGAATCAGCTTTCTAGTTCTTCACCTTCAGTTTGAACAGCTGAGGTAGTGGAGGTTTCCTGGAGCAGCTGTAGCTTGTGTCACTTGCATTGCCATGCTGGGTCGTACTGTTGCAGCTGGCACTTTCCAAGGCACCTATAACAGGATACCTGAGGATTTCTTCCCAAGGTTGAATGCAGTGTTTTCCTTCTTGCAGCCCAGAGTCATGGCACACCAAAAAGCCCTTGAGACACAGCAGGGCAAGCAGCCCCAGAGCCAGGTGTTTCTGGGATAACTTGCCACATTACATGATAAGGTGCAGGGCAGCCAAAACATATGGACTGGAAGAGGGAGGTTGGAGAAGTTGAAGGTGAGGCAGTCCTTTATTTTGAAAGACTTATCTTGGAAATCAAGGCTCAAGGCTGGGAGGACCAAGCTGAAAATGACTTGAATTGAAATAGTGCAATTGTGAGCTTTATGGCATCTTCACTTAGTACTTGAAATTTCAGTCCCAATTGCCATTGAAGCCAAGGACTATCTTTTACATGGAAGAATTTGACATTACCTAGAATGGTGATGAAGTTGGTAGAACTGACTGAGATGACAAAATTAACAGCTTTGATTAGAGAAAAGATATTGATACATTTTAATGATTAGAAACCCCTTTTGAACTTTGTCCATGAAACAGAAAAAATGAAATTTGATATATGGATTTGATGATTAGAAGAAGTGGTAGATAATAAAAATGAAAAATATATTGTAAACTTACTGAATAATTTAATGTAACTATATACCTTATAGGTACTCTGAAAGAAAGTTTTATTTATATTTGTTTGCCTTATTTTTTTCTGCACTTTTGGCTTTGTTCTGTTTCTTGATTTATTTTTTTCTCTTTTTCTTATTTTAATTATTCATTTCTGTTAGTTTTTATATTTCTTTAAAAAGTTTAACAAAGTTATTGTAACTCAAGGACTACCTGAATATATACCTATTCTAATGCATGTGTGTGTGTAAAACATATACACATTGTAACAACACTTCATGGTTCACAAAACAGTAAAAACAAAAGAAACTCCCAATCATAAAATAAAATTTAATAAAAAGTCTGTAAAACCCCAGGGCAGCACTCTGTCATGCATCCACCATCTTGCTGGACTCCAGCCTTACCATATCTCTGTGCTTATGAGAAGAGTCAGCTATTCAAGACCTTCTTAAAGGCAAGGAGGGTGGGGAACTGCTATGGAAAAGCACAGTTCTAGGCCCTGCTAGATGACAACACCCAACATAACTCACCCTCAGAGAAAAGTGAACCCGTACATCTGGCCCCATGACATTTATGGGCCACCCCCATGAAGAACACATCACAGTAAATCAACTAAGCAGTGATGTAGGGTGGTGCTGATTCTTACATGCACCGATGATGTGCTTATGTATGCTTATGTATGCAAGCATCTATGTCTGATTAGCTGACTTAAATCCTCTTAGTTTAGTTTACTTTAGTTTACTTTATTGTCATTGCACCTCTTACAACAAAATCAAACACCATCTTCAGTGCACATCATGACCATGAAAATAAATATGCATCCTTCACACTCTACACATTGAACCAAAACCCCCCAACACTGCACCAACATTGCATTTTACAGTGGGATAGAAGCTGTTTTTCAGCCTATTTGTGCTTGTTTTTATTATTCTGTACCATCTGCCAGATGGTAATAGTTCAAAAAAAGGGTGCTGTCAGATCAGTGTATCTGCCATTCTTCAATGGAAGAAGTTGGTACAAGGGGAGTTGGTACAAGTAATCCTTTTTGATGTAACCTGAATATATTAAATCTTATAGTGAATCTGTATACCTTGCATATGATATACAACTGGAGGAGTGGAGCCAGATGTTCAGAAACTTGTCACCTCTTGGAGAGACAGCAAGAGGATCAGGGGCCATAAAAATTCCAGCTCTAAAAGAAACTTCCTGGGAAATACTTCCCAACTACATTCCCAGAAAAAGAGGGGGGTGGAATTAACATGTTGCTTCTTTGTACTGACAAAATCCACATAAGACTAAGGGGAGGGGTTCTAACTCCCGTTATCTATGCTGCATGCCTGGAGGCATATTAGACCCTGTGTTGACTATTACCTGGATAACTTCCCTTTCAATAAAGAATTCCTTTTGAAATACCCAGTTTTCAGAAGTTCATTCTTATCGTTTGAAGGGGAAAGAGTCCAGGTCTTACAGGTGCCCAGGATGAGATGGATCTTTGACAATGTTTTGAACTTTCTTAAGGCAGTGGGAGCTATAAAGCTCTTCCAAAGAGAGGAGAGGGCAACCAATGATCTTCTGGGCAATGACATTAATCCCCTGGAGTGCTTTCCTATCTGCCACTGTGCAATTGGCAATTATGTTTTGTACTGCCAATTATCTTTGTGCTGCCATTGAGGTTTCAACAGACTGGAATAGCTTTGCAAACACTTTTTCTGTCTGCTTGAATTTTTTTTCTCTTTCTCATGCCCTTTCCCACATTTTTTTACATTATTGTTTATTTTCTTGATCTCTTATTAAATCTGCTGTGTAGAAGAAGCCTGTTATCCTGCTTCTTTTACAATAAAAAGTCTTTTACAATTTCTACCTTTGGATAATTATGTGATTGTGACTTATTGAAAGTACTTTAACATTTGCCAACTGAAATATTATTGTTCAAGAATGTTCTAAAATAATAAATATGTGTCTATTTTTTCTAGCCCCACTTACAGAAAAACCACCAAAACTTTTGTATCCTTTGGAGAGTAAACTGACAATTCAAGAGACACAGTTGGGTAAGTGACATTCTAGAAGTTCCAATATTGTTTGATCTTAATGTTAAGAAAAGATCCTTACACTATGCAGATCCTTACACTTTCTATGCAGATTATTTTAATAATGTTTTTTTACCTTAACTATACAATACTTGTTATATAAAGCGTCCTATTCCTTTAGTTATCTAGAAGTAATAAAGAGTTGTCCATGGTTGAAAAAAATAAGTGTTCTAGCTGATGAATTGTGTTGTTTACTAAGAAAACTGTTGGATAGGCCAGAAAATGAATTTTATTTGAACTACACTCCACTGCAAAATGTAAGTTTTCTTTAAAGCATTATGTCAAAAATAATGTTTTGCATCTGGTAAGATATATTTTCACATCATCAAAACAGATTTGTTGTACTATAGACAGATTACTCCAGAAATCAGTGCTCTGTCATTGTGAGATTTGACTTTTCGGTTCTTGACAAATAGAAGCTGTTATTGCTTCCATCCTTATTCTTCCATAATGACAGAGCCAGGCTAGGCTAATGATACTGAATGAAGAGAGTTGTTGCTTTCCTCTGTTCCTGCAGAAATTACAAACTGCTTATTTTAAGATTCAGTCTCACATTTCAATTTCCCCCCTAATAAAGTCCTTAGCTGATAAAATTTACACTTTGTGAAAGTATCTATTTTCACATATAGAGTCATATATGAAAATAATCCTTTCCCCAATTATCTGAAAACTAAAATATATTAATTCAAAAGCAATATTATATTAATATTACAACCTTAAGCCAGTGTTTTACATTAGATGTTCTAAAAGAGATATTTTCAGTTACCTCTATGTAAAGCCAGTAATTTTGTTGAACGTATTTTATTTGGAAACTTTGGAAGCTTTTAATCTAAATATTATATATTTAAATAATAATTGTACATTGAATAATATTGATTTAATATTATAAAAACAATTTTAATTTGTAGGATGTAAGATTTTCACCTGATCATTATGGCATTATTATTGTACATTCTTTTGTATTGCTTTGCAACTTTAATATCTACTATACACTTATTATATCTGTCATATTTAATTATGATCGTGCTATCTCTTCTGAATCACTCTAAAATCATAGCAGATTATTGTGTGAATTTGTTTCCTTATAATTTTGATTTGATTAGAAGAATTACCAGTCTAAATAATTGTAGTAGCTTATAGTCACCATCATCCTATCAATGAGGCCTAGGGGAATAACCGTATCTTCAATAATTTCCCAAATGGCATAAAGGGGAAGATACACAAATTTTAAGAGAAAACCATTCCAAAGGAGAGGAATTGCTGCAGAGTAGCTGTACCTCCTGGGGTCCACAAGGAGTCATTTTTTAATTGATGGGATCTGGGTTGCATCCACCAAACTAGACAGGCAGGAACAATTGGACAAAAGCGATGTTCAGACATTCATGCCCTGTACCATGAACCATTTTAATGATGGGAACCAGTACCTTGAATTCCATCCAGAATCCATGTACAGTTTGCAAACCAGCAAGATCACATATGCATAACATGTATCCCCATCATTACCTGCATTTTTAAAAAACTGAACTTTATTAGAGTAGTCTGATCAATGCAGCAGAAAGAGGAAAAGTGACTTTTTCTTCATCTTGACATTGTATTATGAGACCTAGAATTTCATTTGCTGCGGCTGCTTCTCATTGATGTGCCTCATCTGTAGCTGCCCATTCAGGCCAACTATCCTATATTCATTTTTAAGATAATTTTTTTTCTGCAATCTTAGCAAAATAGAAAACAAAATAGTGACATTATTTTATTATTTTAATTATATGAGATTTTTGGCTCTATTTGTGGAAGGGCTGTTTGATAGCATTTGGATGAAGATAAGTTAAAGAACAATTAATAGTTTTGGACCTGGGGGCTATGCCAAAGTCTCAGAGCCAGATCCCTGAAAATTATTAAGTAATCTATTGTAGATAATTTGTGGTCTGCCAAAATTTGTTCAGAAAAAGTCATGGACAACAGAGATTGCTAGCATTTGTAAATTAAGCCTTAGAGGCAAATCAGCCTTTGGCCAGCTCAATTACATTTATGGTGGTTCAATAACTTCTTCAAAAGAAAGAGCCTTAAATTGAATGTGTAGAGATTCATCACTGCAACCACTCTTTTTTTTTTATAAAAATACTTTATTAAACAAATTTATACAAATACAGTAAAGTCAAACTTTCCGCTTATCGCAACTTAAACAAAACAGTGTTCACTCAGTCTGACATCTCTCAAATTGTGTAAAATATTCATTCATGGTTGTTACTTTAAACATATAATACAAAGTTTCATCTAATTATATATTACAAATCTAATTACATATAGTGTTACTAGTTTCCGTCATACCTTTTTATTTGACCTTATTTTATTAATTTCATATCTATCTTCTAATCAATTGTACCAACAATTCCAAATCTTGTAATATTCTGATTCTTCTTTGTTCTTAAGTTCCAATGATAGATAGCCTGTCCATTTCTGCGCATTCCAAAGCTTTTTTTATGATCATGAAGTCGGGGGGAGTATTTTCACATTTCCAATTTTGGGCAAAGGTGAGCCTTGCCGCTGTTAATATGTGAAGTATAATATATAATAATTTTTTTTACTAATTTTTTGTTTTAGAATTCTCAGTAGAAATATTTCTGGTTTCCATTCAATTTGAACTTTAGTGATTTCTTCAAGCCAATTACTAATTTTCCTCCAATACTTTTTTGCTTTTAGGCAGGACTACCACATATGATAGTAGGTTCCCTGCTCATATCCATATTTCCAACAGCTTGCCAAGTTATCAGAAAACATTTTTGCGAGTCTTGCTGGTGGTAAGTGCCAGCGATAAAATATTTTGTATAAATTCAGATAGAGTTAATTTATAATTGATTTTCCATAAGTTTTCCCAATGTTCCAAATTTATGCTATATCCAAAGTTTTTGGCCCAGATTATCATTGTTTCTTTTATGGTTGTATATATAATTGTATATTTTAGTAATCATTTTGTAAGGCATCCAAAAAGTATCCATGATATCAATCACTCTGAGACATTTTCTCTCTAATTGATTTATTTAGAAACAGATCTGGCATGTCAAAAACAATTTCCCAAAGTGAAATTATTTTTGTGCATTACACAGAATCAACCTTCTCCCCTCTCTTCTCTCCTCCCACTTCTACACTTCATAAATCATGAGAACCAATTAACTGCAACTGGAATTTCTTAATACGACATACAGAATAACCTTGAACTTTTCAACTCTTCCACCCCCCCTTCCATGAAATGTGACAGCTGAATTCTTAAAGCTGACAGATACCCCCCCCTTGAAAACTCTTCCTCCTAAAAGAAAAGGAAAAAAACAGATACAGGGGTTAACACATTGTCCTTAACCCCCTCTCTCCCCTCCACGAGGACCCTTCGGTGTGTGGGAAATCCTCATGGAATTGGTTAACCAATTGATCAGCATGAACATCCCAACTCCTTACCCAACTAGCATCCAAGAGAGGGTATCCTTTCCATAAGACCAAATATTGGAATTGGCCACAGTGTAATCTAGAATTGAGATTTTTTTGAATTTCCTAATGTGTTTCCCCCTGCACCATTAATGGTTCAGGGAGAGTGATTGGCGATGGTCTTATCATTGATGTAGTAGCTGGTTATAGTAAACTACAATGGAATACTGGATGAATTTTCCCCAATATTTGAGGAAGACTTAATTGGACAGTGACCAGATTGATTATCTTTGAAATTGGGAACGGACCCAAGAATTTGGACCCAGCTTCTTACTGGGCAGTTTCGACCTAAGATACTTGGTCGACAAATATACTTTGTCCCCTACTTTAAAAGGAGGTTGAAGGGATCTATGTTTATCCGCCTGTTTTTTATAATTTTTTGCAGCTTCAGTCAAAGCTTTTTTTGTATCTTCCCATCCTTTCTTTAATGAGTTCATCCATTCTGTTAGGGACATGGATGAGGGACGTTGTCTAGGTAACTCTGGCATTGGGACAAAATCCATTCCAGTGTTGATTTGGAATGGAGTCAATCCCATGCTGCTATGTATTGCATTATTGTAAGCAACCTCTGCAAAAGGTAATAACTCAGCCCAATTTTCTTGTTGATAATTTACATAGCATCTAATGTATTGTTCAATCATGGCATTAGCCCTCTCCGCTGCTCCGTTACAAGCAGGATGGAAAGCTGAGGATAACCCTTGAGAGAAACCAATGGATTTCAGAAATTCCCTCCAAAACTTTGCAGTAAACTGTACCACTCTGTCTGATATTATTCTACAAGGTACTCCATGTAATCTATAGATATGTTTCACGAACCGCTTTGCAAATTTTTTCACAGATAGAAGTCCTTTGCAGGCTATAAAATAGGCCTGTTTAGAGAATAAGTCAATTATAGTCCAAATGATTGTATTCCCTTCACTCTCAGGTGATTCAAAAATAAAGTCCATTGCGATCTCTTCCCAAGGTTGGGTTGGTTCAGCAACTTGTTGCAGGAGCCACGGGTTTTTCCAGTTCTGTATTTCATTGTGGCACAAATTGAACAACTTTTTACACAATCCTCAACATCAGGTTTTATTTTTGGCCACCAGAACTGTCTTCTCAGTAAATGTAGGGTTTTTAGGAATGCAAAGTGGCCTCCCAGCCAGGAGTCATGGCTACATTTTAGTACCAGTAGTCTTAGGGTTGAGGGTACATAAAATTTAGTCCCTTTCCAAGCTAGTCCATCATTCATTGTCAACTTGGTTTGATGGTCCAGGAACCAAGGATCAGTCAATAGGGCCATTTTCAATTCTACAGTCAGCTTATCTTCCAGGTGTTTGGAGTTGCAGTTGACTTGGGCTCGAGTGGTCATTTGACCTGCCAATTGAGCTTCTGAAATTAAGGCTTGTACTATTTCCTCTCAGTGGTTGTCAAACTGAGGTTTTCTGGACAGAGTGTCCACCAGTACGTTTTCCCCTCCGGGATATATTTAATGTTAAAGTTGAATCGCTTGAAATATTGGGCCCAGCAGACTTGTTTGGGTGATAATCTCCTAGGGGTCTTTAGAGCCCCGAGATTCTTATGATCAGTCCATACCTCAAAGGCCTCTGGCACCCTAGAAAATGCCTCCAAGCCAACAAAGCCCATTGTACAGCGAATGCCTCTTTCTTCCAGACCTCCCACCTTCGCTTTGTGTCTGTCAGCTTTTTGGACACATAAGTGCAAGGCATCAGTTGGCCTTGAGAGTCCTTTTGCAGCAAAACAGCTGCCACCGCTACATCACTTGCATCCATTTGGACAATAAAAGGCTTGGTCGCGTCTGGGTGCTGGAGGATGGGCTCAGATGCAAAGAGGCATTTTAAGGCCTCAAAAGCTTTCTGACAGTGCATAGTCCAAGCCAGGGGTTGACTTGGCTTTGGTTTGGTGAGTGATGGGCCTGTTTTTAATAGCTCCATCAACAGGAGGGCAACTTCAGCAAAGGACAGAATGAATTGTCTATAGAAGTTGGCAAACCCCAAGAAACTTTGAAGTTCTTTTTGGGTTCTGGGGGGTTGCCAGTCCAGCACTGCTTTCACCTTTCCAGGGTCCATTTCAATCCCCAGGTTGGATATTCGGTAGCCTAAGTAGTTCGACTCTTAGTGGAATTCACATTTTGAGAGTTTCACATATAATTTGGCGGCTAGAAGTTTTTCTAGAACTTGTTGGACTAATTGAACATTGTTCTTCCATGGTTTTGCTGAAGATAAGGATGTCATCTGGGACAACGAGGACCCCCCCAGTAAAGGTGCAGTTGTAGAACTTCATTCATCAACACTGCAGGAGCCCCCTGAAGTCTGAAAGGCATGACTTTGAATTGGAAGCTATCCAGAGGGCAGTTAAAAGCAGTTTTCCACTCATGTCCCTCTTTGATGTGGACCTGGTAGTAAGCTTCCCTGAGATCTAGCTTGGTGGATATCTTGCCCTTCGACAGGTGGTTCAATAAGTCCTTCATAAGGGGGAGAGGGTACATGTTTTTGATGCATATGGTATTCACGCCTCTAAGGTCACACACAATCTCAACCAGCCATCTTTCTTCTTCTTGAACAACACGGGGGCAGCTAGTCTTGATTTAGCAGGCTCAATAAAATCTAGTTCCAAATTGTTGTTGATGTATTTTCTTAATTCAGTTATTTCAGCAGGTGTCATGGAATACATCTTCGGTTTTGGTAATTTTGCCCTGGGCTCTAATTCTGTGGTGTAATCAGTGGCTCGATGGTGTGGTAAAAGATTACACTCTTCTTCACTGAATGCTTCAGCCAAGTCTTTGTATTGGTCAGGTACCAGGGGGTTATCTGGGAGAAGGTGGGATGCCATGGATGCTGGCTCAGGCTCTGGGTTCAAGCTGACCAGTGGCTTTGTAGTGGGTGGAAGAGGGAGCAATGGGCCTGCTCCAATGAGGATTTTTCTGAATCCATCCTCCCATTTGATCATCAGGGCCCATTTGTCTAGCCAAGCAAGTCCCAGTATGATTGATTCTGACACTATGAAGGGTTTGTGATGGGGCCCTAATTCCATCTTGATCAATTCAGTCATGTGAGTGGCTGCCCCCACAGTTAAGGTTCCATCCACTTGCTCTAATCTGATTGGGCGTTTTAGCGGGTTAGTCTTTATGCCCAATTGTTCAATGATGGGGAGTCCGATAAGACATCTAGAACACCCAGTATCAATGACAGTTTCTAACTCCCTAGCATCCCCTGTGTTTGGTACCACTAACTTGACCTTGCCTGTAAAAGGTATGATGGGATCACTCACCATTGGGTCATCTTCGCAGGTCGGGTTCTCAGGGATGTGGTGGCGGTCTGGTAGTCCATTGCTCCCATCTGTGCAGAGGGGGCTTTCCCAGCTGTGTTTGGTGAACCCGCCCCTGGCCAGAGGTCTTTCTTGATTCTTCCAACTTCTAACAGCTGGATTAGACTTTGACTGTGGAGCTTGTGGTACAGGAGCAGGGGCCAGACAGTCTGCTGCTCTATGGCTGGCTTGGCCACATCATTAACATTTCAGCACCCTGGTAGGTTGAGTATGAGCAGGTTCAGCTGATCTGGTCGGCAGTCTCCTAGCCACAATTTTCTTAGGCGGGGATGCTGGAAGGGTTTTTCTTTGTGGGTTGATGCTACAATCTAAACTGAGGGATGCAACATACCATGATTGTAAGGTCTCTGGGATTCCCTTAATTTCACAGGCCTTCTTTACTTCTGGATCAATGGCATTTTTAAAATAGTGTAAAATCATTCTTTCAGGCCAATCCATGAGGTGGCTTGTGACCCTTCTAAAGTCCCAAGTAAATTCTGACAAGGATTGCTTGCCTTGCCTCATTTCCATTAACTTCTCTTCATTCTCTGCTACCCTGTCTGGATTTTTAAATCTGAGTCCTAATAATTGAATAAATCCATTTACATCGCGTAATTCAGAGGCTTGTTCATTGTCTACTTGGGCCACCCAGTCTGAAGCATTCATTCATTCATCCCATTCATTCATTCATCCCATTTGTTATGGCTGTAACCAAATCATGCTCTGTGGCGTATTGATCTCCAAATTGTTCTATATGGGATCAGATTCGAGTTAGGAAGTAATTGAAATGTTCATGGCGGCCATCAAATATGGCCTTAAAAGGTATTTGGTCTGGCCTGGGTTGTGGTTGCGGAGGTGACACATGCCAGGCCCCTGCAGGTTGTACTGAAATGAAAGGAACTGGCCTGGTGGAATACATAGGCTGGGTAGGTCCCCTGTATCCTGGCTGGGTGGTGCCTCTCTGGAATAGGGGTCCCTGCGGCCTCGCTGCTGGTTGGGGCTGCATTTGTGGTTGCCAGGAGGCAGATGGATGTGACCTGGTTCCCTGATCAGGTGAAAGGGAAGTGGCTGCTGTGTGTTGATTGGGCAACCCCACTTCAGACCAGGGCTATGTTGGTGCTGGCTGCCATTGGCATTGAATCCACCCCTGGCTTCCTCCAACTGGCATCTGTATAGTCTCCTCCCTCAAATCTCACAGAATAGCAATATGCCTAGGGCTTGAGAAAGATTTCTCTTCACATAGCTGGGATACCTCTGGGTTATAACAACTTCTTGAGTTGAAACGCTTCAGTATAGCTCCCAAATCTCTTTCCTTTACTGTCATTCTGAAAGCATTCATCATCTCCTCTAAACAAGGGCTTGCAGATCCAATTAATGTTCCAGAGGGAGGGCCCCCATGCTCTCCCCTCTGCATATCTCCAACTTTGGCTGATTATTGATCTTTCTCCATGTCTTGGAAAAGAACTCCAGGGTATCAGCCAAGCCCCTTCAAAAAATAAAGGTGGACTTTGGGAAGTAAATGTAAGAAATCCAGAAAGTATCCATGCTATCAATCACTCCAAGACATTTTCTCTCCAATTGATTTATTCAGAAACAGATCTGGCATGTCAAAGGCAATTTCCCAAAGTGAAATTATTTTCATGTGTTACACAGAATCCACCTTCTCTCCTCCCTTCTCTCCTCCCACTTCTACACTTCATAAATCACAAGAACCAATTAACTGCAACTGAAATTTCTTAATACGACATACAGAATAACCTTGAACTTTTCAACTCCTCCACCCCCCCTTCCATGATATGTGATGGCTGAATTTTTAAAGCTGACACATTTTTCTATCCCTGTAAGATTTTATCCAATTCCTGTTGATCCAAATTTATCTCGCATTGTTCTATATCTTTTTTGTATCTAGATTGTATCTGTATATATGGCCACCAATCTACTTGTATTCCTTTGCAACATTAATTCCTGCTTAGATTTTAGTTTCCCTTGTTCATCTAATAACTCTTTATAGGTCACTGCCTTGTTCAAATCTAAAACATTCAGATATATCATAGCTTCCATGGTTGACATCCAGAATGGAATCTTTGTGTAATGGTTTCATTTTCATTTTTCCCATACCCCTAGTAATGTGTCTCTAATTTGATGCCTTTGGAAACACAAATGATATTTATTTTTCCCTTCCCACATGAATGCATGCCAACCAATTTGCAAGTCATGTCCTTCTCTTTTGTTCTTTAAGTTTACCTAATCGTTGATCCATGTTGTTATTGCGGCCTGATAATAAAGATTCCAATCTGGAAGTCTGAACCCTCCCTTATCCTTACTATCATGTAGGAGTTTTAATTTTATCTGAGCCTTTTTCCCTTGCCAAATAAATTTTTAATCATTTTGTTTAATTCTTTCAAAAAGGTTTTTCCTAATTTTATTGTAATTGTTTGGAAAAAAATTATATCTTGGGTAGTATATTCATCTTAACAGTAGCAATTCTCCCTATCAATGATACTTGAAGTTTTCCCCAATTTTCCAAATCTTTTTGAATTGGTTTTAGTAATTTCTCCTAATTATCTGTTTTTATCGATGAGCATTTAGCTGTCAATCATACCCTGAGATAGTTCAATTTTTTTGTTGTTTGAATCCCCAATTTCTTCTCCAGATCCTCCTTCTGTTTCACCATCATATTTTTTGTTAGAATCTTTATTTTTTCTTTATTTATTTTTAGTCCGGCCACTCTGCCAAATTCTTCAATTTCCTGTAATAATATGTGTCCACTCCCTGAAAAGTATTAAGTAATCTATTGTAGATAATTTGTGGACTGCCAAAATTTCTATTGTTCAGAATAAAACATTGACAACAGAGATAGCTAACATTTGTAAATTAAGCCTTAGAGGCAAATCAGCCTTTGGCCAGTTCAATTATATTTATGGTGGCTCAATAACTTCTGTTGAGGTAATTCCCCATTAGGAGAATGAGCACATACAGGGAGACGTATTGAGAGTAGTGTTTGAATAATACACACACAGAACACAGATACACTGTACAGTAAAGGTAGGTTTTTACTTCCAGAAACGTGTAAGCAAAGTTCAAGATAAACAGTCCAAAATCATTCAAAGGTAAGATCTGTCAGTTTTCAATCCAGGGATAATCCAATAACAAAGTCCAGTGTCAAAAACAGTTCAGTATCAGACTTACATCAAATCCAAGAAAAACAGTCAATACAGGAATGGCGAAACTCTCCAGCAGAAGGAAACAGAGACTCACTCACACTCTCTTCTGAGACAAAGACTAAGACAATCCAGGTTTCTGGCTCCATCTTTTGGCTGTTTGAGAAACCACACCCAATTACACTTTTAGGATTCTTTTAAAGAGACAGTATTAAAATGTCTGTCCTGGTTTATATATACCTGTTAGGTGACAACTTCTTCAAAAGAAAGAGCCTTAAATTGAATGTGTAGAGATTCATCATTGCAACCACTCTTATTTTGAAATCGTCTCTTACTAACATTTATGGGCAGGTAATTTATTCTTCAAAGAGCAAGGTAACCAGATTCCAGGTTTGGATAAGCTGCAAATGTACCTACTAAGTAAGAAATAAAATGATTACATAATAGAGAAAATTAGTCAAAAGTTAAACAGGCAGTTATGGTATTTTCAAACTGAAGTGGTTGAAGTGGTTATTTCATAGTTCATAATTGGAAGCTATAAATAAACCAACCCCACTTTGTCAATTAGTTACCTCTCAGGTTGATCTTTGCATAGGGGCTATTTGCACAAGATTGCCCAAGTTTTGCAAATTCCCTGGAATTCTGGAAAATTAGTCCAGCTTTCCATATAGTTCTGATTTTCATTCCCAAGCAGAAATATAGAGAATAGAAAGCAGAACCATTCAAGAATGCTTACATAATAGAAGAGAGCTAAACATTATTTAAAATCTGAAAAGCAAGGTAGTATTTGGAAGTGACTCAGGTAGCCTCCCCCCTCATTCATTGAGGGTATAAGAAGGAGGACAAGTAAAGTACAGGCTTGCAAGCAGGGGTGGGATTCAATAGTTTTGGACCAGTTTAGGCAAACCAGATGTTAAATTTACTTCTGGTTCACTGAACCGGTAGTTGAACAGACTGGCTGGCCCTGCCCACCTCACCTCTCCCCTCCCAGGAGTCTCCACTTGGCCTATTTTGCATGCAGGTAAGTGCAGGATCCATGCAGAGGCTCTGGGAAGGTGAAAAATGGGCCGAACCGGAAGTTCCGGAAGTCTGGAAATGGACCTATTTCTGGCTTCCAGAGGGCCTCCGGAGCACAGGGAGGCCATTTTCGCCCTCCCAGAGGCCCGAGGGAAGCCTCCAGATCCTGGAGAAGGTAAAAAATGGCCCTCCTAGAAGTTCCAGTATGCCATAGCCACCATGGCCACGCCCACCCAGCAACCGGGCATTGAACTGGTTGCTGGAGTTTTGAATCCCACCCCTGCTTGCAAGATTCTGTTTTTTTATAACCAATCTCAATAAACTATACTTCTAGTCTTCCAGTGGAGTTGAATTTGTGGTATGCCATGTCTGATAGGGCTGATATCAGTTATCTCAATGCTTTGAAAGAAGATCAGAAAGATCTCCCATTTTATATTTCAAACTTTTTCTCTTAAAAAAAGAGTACAGCCACTTACATTGAACTTCAAACCAAGCTTGTTTTTAGTTACTGACCTAAAATGATTTTCATGTTCATTATAATATAGTTAAAATCTATATATTACAAAACTGACTTCTGAGGCTGCCAATAGATTTGAACTTTCAGTGAAATATCATTCAAACAACACAATGTTAAAAGACTTTCCTGAGACACATATGCATATTTGACAAAGGGCTGTTGGTCTTTTTCATACCAAGACTTTAATGAATAAAGCTACTTTTAAATTAATCTGGAATGCATGATCATTTTTCTCACTTGATATTATTTTTTCCCTTTTAGAAATATTTCTAATGATAAAATTAAATCTTAACTAATCACACTTCAGTTCAGCCATGTTAGCATAATGCCACATCTTATCTGAGTATTTTTTTATTAGTAGATTGATTGAGAAGATGAGATAAGATGCCTTTGGCTAAAAGATGTGATCTCAGTCCTGTCTGACCATGACTCATAGTTTGTTCAATTACAAAACCTCCCAGTGAATTTTAAAAAAAACCTCTCTCCATTTATTGTTCATATTTACATTAGAAAGCATAGCGACCATATTATATATGAACATGGGAAATAACATTTGTCTTGCATGTTTCTTTGTTTTTGATAGATTTATAGTATATGTGGCTGTTCCATATTAGCAGGCTTGAAACCCTGCATTCCTATTGGTCCAGAAAAGCCGGATCGTGATTGGATGGCTTGAACGTTCCTGATTGGCTCATACAGGGTTTGCCGCGATTGGCTGAAACCAAGCGCGGCAAACTCAAAGAGTTGTCATTGGCTGCCTAGCCATGGCCAGCTCTATAAGAAGAGCTGCCGCGCGCTAGGGTTTCTTGTCTCAGAATCTATCTGTTAAATAAAGAGCTGTTGTTCACTACTCAAGCCTCGTCTATTCATGGGACCCACTGACCATACATAACACTGGCGACGAGGATGGGATTCTGAGACAACAAGGCTAACCAGCATGTGGCAAATGGTGCAGAGACGACCAGTGAAATGGCCAGCAGCGCCACACCACCCGGACCATTTAACCCAGCCAGCGATGACTGGGAGTCCTACATTGATCATTTCCAAATGTTTTTGGAATCCAACAACTTGAAAGACACCACCGGCAGCAAGAAACGGGCGATATTTTTAACACACTGCGGGCCCGCTGTTTTCAAAATGACCAAGACGCTAGCAAAGCCCGCAGATGTCAAAACGATGGATTGGGACAACCTAGCTCCCATCCTCCGAAACCACTATGCTCCGGCCGTACCAACTCTTATCCAAAGGCATGATTTTTATCAATGAGACCAGCGTGAGGGTGAGAGCATCGGTGAATTCCTGGCCAACCTGAGGGACCTTGGAGGTTTGTGCGGATTCGCTAACATGGATGAGGCCATGCGAGACTGGGTCGTTCTCAGCCTGAAAGACCCAGTGCTCCAAAGCAGACTAATGGCCAAGGGTGACATCTCCCTCGCCGACGCCATAGCCGAAGCAACCGCAGCCAAAGCTACCCACAAATCAGCGGCCCGAATGTGGCATTCAAATGGAACTGATCATCAATAGACCAGAGAGGCAACTACCACACCAGAAAAACTCGCAGCCACCACTCACCATGGCGACGTCAAATCCCCTTCTGACAGCAAAGAACTTCAGTCAGAACACGATCGGTGAGACCGGTGAGGTCATAAGTCGGGGTACCAGTGTGCCAGCTGCAGAGGAAATCACCCGCGTTCTGAATGCAAGTTCCTGGATGCTGTTTGCCGACATTGCAACAAGCGGGGGCTTATCGCTAAAGTATGCTGTAATAAAAGAAACTTTAGCCCCCGGTGTCGAAGCAACAGCCCGAGAAGACAAGATGGCACCCCCACCAAAAACTGGGACCGGCAGACTGACAGCCGGTGGAGCCGGGACGGCCAAAACAAAAGATTCAATGAGGCACCGCGAAGAGAAGAAACACACCAAACAGTTACCATCGCCCATTCTTCACCAATAGATGCACGGAAGATACTCATCGAGGTTGGTATCGAAAACCAACCATGCACCATGGAGGTAGATTCTGGCTCCTACCTCTCCATGGTCTCCTGGCGCACCATAAAGCATCTAATACCCAGCATACACGCCAGAAACTAAGTGACCAGAAATTGATCCTGAGGGACTACCAAGGGAACCGCATCCCAGTGGCTGGCATCGAGCATTTCAAGATCACCTTCAAAAACTGCACCAATATTTTAACCACTTACAATTGTAGATAAAGACCGCCCCAGCCTACTCGAATTACAATGGTTCACACCGCTAGGGATCGAGATGGCAGGTATCAATCACACAGACAAAGAAGATTGGGAGGCGATGCTCATACGAGACTTCCAAGAGGTCTTCGATGACACTTTAGGCAAGTACAAGGGGTCCCCAATCTCCTTCAATCTTAGCCCAGACATCGCTCCCATCCGCCTCAAGCCATGCCGAGTGCTATTTGCACTCAAGCCTAAGATAGACGAGCAATTAAATAAGCTCATCACACAAGGGGTATTAGAACCTATCGACCATGCCCGTTGGGAAACACCCATTGTCACCCCCATCAAACCAGACGGCTCCCTGAAAATCTGTGGAGACTACAAGGCCACCCTGAACCATGCCCTGCAGCAGAGTGCCTACCCTGTGCCAGTAGTCCAGCATCTCCTACACTCACTTGGGGTTGGCAGAATCTTTGCAAAGCTCGACCTGGCACAAGCCTATCAACAACTGCTGGTCGATGCTGAAACCGCCGAGGCACAAACGATTGTGACACATCGAGGGGCATTTAAATGCAACCGACTCCAATTTGGAGTCAGCGTCGCACCTGGGGTTTTCCAAAGCCTAATGGAAAGACTGCTGCAGGGAATTAAAGGAGTCATACCCTATTTCGACGACATGCTAGTAGCAGCCCCCAATAAGAAACAATTGGAGAAACAGCTAAGAGCAGTCTTACAAAAATTTAAAGACTCTGGCCTCAAAGTAAAAAAAGAGAAGTGCCAACTATGTACTGAAAGGGTTGAATTCCTGGGGTACCTCCTAGACAGACATGGAATTCACCCTACTGACAAAAAATTAAAAGCCATCAAGGAAGCCCCCAGACCGAAAAATAAAACGGAACTCCAAGCATTCCTTGGACTCATTAATTTTCCTACCCCAGAAGGTGACTGTCGTGGAACCCTTGCATAGGCTCCTGGATAAAGCGGCATCCTAGATCTGGGGAAGGCAAGAGGAACAGGCTTTCCAACAAATAAAAAACTTTTAACTTCTGATGCAGTCCTTATTCAGTATAATGAAACCCTGCTGCTGACTGTCACATGCGATGCATCACTCTTTGGTGTTGGGGCAATCCTAAGCCACACCTTGCCAAATGGGAAAGAGGCTCCCATCGCATTCTTCTCAAGAACCCTGTCCAAGCTGGAGAGGAACTACAGCCAGCTGGACAAAGAAGCCCTAGCCATCGTCTCTGCAGTGAAAAGATTCCACAAATACGTTTATGGTAGGACCTTTTCAATTATTACGGACCACAAACCCCTACTAGGCATTTTGGCTGGGAACAAAGCCACTCCAAACATCCTGTCACCTAGGATGACGAGATGGTCTGAATTTCTTGCCGCTTATAATTACCATTTAGCACACCGACCCGGCAAGACCATCTCGCACACTGATGCTTTAAGCCGATCCCCCCTACCAGACGTGCAAGACGACCCAGCACCCACATTATCAATTTTACAAATAGAACCAATAACCACGCCACCATTGACCGTGCAAGACATTGCCCACGAAACAAGAAGGGACAAACGCTTGGCGCGAGTCCTCAGCTGGGTGGAGAGGGGTTGGCCAGAAAGCGAAAAAAATGAACTCTTTAAACCGTTTAAAAACTGGCAAACTGAACTTTTTTCACAAAAGGGGTGCATTCTTTGGGGAGACCGGGTGGTTATACCAGAAACATTACAGAAAAAAGTTCTAGACATGCTGCACGATGGGCACCCGGGCATTGTATGAATGAAAGCCCTGGCCAGAAGCTACACTTGGTGTCCAGGCATGGACAAACAAAGAAAAACTTGGGTTGCCGCTTGCAGCAGATGCCAAGAGACTCACTCGACCCCCTCTGCAGCTCCACCACTAGAATGGGAAACCCCCAGAGGCCCCTGGTCGTGAATCCATGTTGACTTCGCGGGGCCAACCAAAGGACATACCTTTTTAATCACTGTTGATGCTTACTCAGATTGGCTCGAAGTAAGCAAAATGAAAACAACCACCACAGAAGCCATTATCAAAAAATTAAACAAACTTTTCTCCACGCATGGTCTGGCAGATGTGGTAGTATCTGACAATGGACCTCAATTTACCGCCTTGGCATTTGAGCAATACTTGGCAGACCGTGGCATCCGACATGCATTGACATCACCAGCTCATCCGGCGGTGAACGGGCGAGCTGAACGCATGGTTCAGTTCACAAAAAAAAAAAAAACCATCCAAAAGATTGAACACGGTAACATCCACGAAAAAATCAACAAAATGGAAAAGGTTGTTGAAAATGAGATGGTGAAGATCTTGTGGGACTTTTGAATACAGACAGATCGCCATTTGGAACACAACATGCCAGATATTACGTTTGTTGAGGGCCAATTTATTGATATTTCTGTACGAGAAGGCAAAGTCAAAGAAAAAGAAATTTTAAAAAATCATGAAATATCATGACCTGACCATCAGTTGACTGGCTACACAGTGTGAAACATGAACATGAAACATGTAGCAGTCATACCCATTGTCATCAGGGCACTTGGTACCATGTCCAAGAATTTTACAAAACACATCAAGAAATTGCAGCTTCCTGCAATAACACCAGCAGAACTGAAAAAAACTGTGCTACTCAGAACTTCATATATTTTAAGAAAATACTTGGTTGATATCTAGGATGCTGGCAGAAACCCATATCAACCAGTCACTGACATTTGTGATACATTTTTAAATGTTCAGTTGACTGAGTTTCATGTTTAGTGAATAAAATTGTTAATATATCAGTGATTGGACTTCCAGAAAAGTATCAATTTTTTTATCAATTGCTGGAAGGTGAAGAA